GAACGAGCCCCAAACAGAGAGTGGTTAACGCTGATTCAGAAGTTTTACGGGAGCTTTTGCTTCAATTTTGCTCGTTGAATAATTCAAATGATTAATAGACCACCTGTTAACAATAACTCCACAGATAGTCTCGAACTTGGCGAACTGTTTCACCGATGGCGATGTCCAACTGGCGAATGGTTGGAAATCGTCAAAGTTTGGCGCTGACTCATTTACTGCTCCACTGCCTCTTGCGCTCCAGTACCTACAAGGAGGGCAGGTACAATTCAAAAGAGGATATGGGTTGTCAAAAGAACTATGTATAGGTATGGTCTGCCCTTCTGTTCCTGCAAGTGACCCTAAACTTTGACTTAAGTCTGCTTAGCATCCCTACGCTAGAGAGGTACACCTCCAGTTCAACGGCATCTGATCCGATCATGACTTCATTGCTTTTGCTACTTTTGACTTCATGGATTCGAACTGAGTTCCAACGTACGTTTTACCCATTTTGGCCAGAATTAGTCGGCTACAGTACCAATCTCGGGAAATTCTACATTTATTCCTTCGAATTGTCTTACAAATCTGTATTCTTGGAGCAATTACCAGAGCTTCACATTCCTAGTAGAGGCCGAGTCGGTGATTTTGTCCCAATCTTCGCTGTTCGTGTAGATACCGATAGAAATATTATGTTCCTAGGATAAAGCCCTTTTACCACAGTATCCAAGTTTTAAGTGTGATACTCTTCACTTACAAGAGCTCGTTCGAAAATGCTGTTGAGAAAGTTGACATTAGTTGTGCTCGAATCGGACCAGTCCTCGCGTGAGGTCACCTGAAGCATGCCCTGTCCCTCGATATCTTACTTTTTCTCTATGAACGTGTCGATAGTGCCCACATTTAATGGAAGGGAGGTGGAGAATAAATCCCAGATTCGGTATGAGCATCCTACCATCATCTATTCAATTTTACCGATCTTAACCCTGAGCTCATTCTCCCTATTAACCGCTATAACCGCTATTGGGCCTTACAGTGGTTTCTAAAGTTCAAGGGATAGGTGTCCCGGTTGGCTTTAAACTTGTCGACCTCGACGGATTTCGTAGTGTGGGTGTGATCGGGCACCACTAGGCGCTTC